TTTTGATAATTACGACCATTTACGCTTTCATTTTAATGTGAGCAGTAGACCTGTCTGTTTCCATACCTAATATGCTTCATACTTCCCCCGGATGAACGGGATGGAATTCGTACCGCCCACAAGAGCAGGCGCAATCCGAGTAAGACGCTTAGCTCATGAAGATAGATAGAAGTAGTATCATGGAGATAATGATGAATAATCATAGAGATAATAATATAGATTGGTCTCACATACATTTTACTACATTTTATTACATGTAACTTCGGCATTCTGGGATAAAATTCTGATTTCTGCAGATTGATGTTTAAGACAGCCTGTTAACTATTAACTGTTTTAATAATGCTGATTGCAACGTCAAGTTCAAACCTATTTCTCCATGATTCTCAATAACGCCTTCACATGAGGAAACCCACAATGTGACTTTTGAATACACTTTCAAGTAGGTTGGTATCTTCAGTTAAATCATACAGGATGAAACAAAACCTCCATCTTTACTAATGATGAACCATAAATTTATTCAATCTAAAAAAGAGAATGCTGGTTCAGAATTTATGCGTTTTAGAGAACTAGGGGTTGGGAAGTCTTGTTTCATAAACTACGGTATGGTGCTAACGTCCTACACTATAAACCACAGTTTGTTTACTATGACATATCAAAACCACATCATACTTTGATGCCATTGTCCTTGCTTGAGCAGCAGGTCATAATACCAGTTTTGTGAACCAAGTCAGTCCTCCAAACAATCACTTGCGCTGCGTTATCAGAAAGGTTCTAAAGAATATGATAAGCGGTTAATATAGTCAATAACTAACAACCAGGTAGCCCGAGAGATCAGTCAACACTTCAAGCCTTCTGTATGTAATATTGCAGGTTTTGTTGTTATACGACAAGGACGATAAGAAATGGTCTCTATCCTTTGCGATTGGTCACGAACTAGCGCTATCTTTGCACTGTGATTACATATAAACTTGGTACAAACCCGTAAAACACTACACCCGTAAAACGCAATGCTGGGCAACTTGGGGTTCGTTTTTTCAACACAACTCCCTACACTGCCGATGTCGTAAAACGAGTTGACAAGAAAAGGAAGATTTACAGGGGTGGTGATTATAGTCTTAGGCTTTCCCCTTTACTTACACTTCACGACTGCCGTAAAGTGGCACAGGACATGCGTAGTTGGGCCAACAGCACGCCTCGTGCGCATAGAGGAGTGAACAACGTCTAAATTGATTAGATTTCCCGATTGTACAGAACAGCTCCCATCAGAGAGGTCTTCTGAAGATGTTTTAAACCCGAGTCGTAGAAAGTTTCGGTGAAGCTAAGGGCACAGCAGTCGTGGCACATATATACTGGTCCCGGATATTGGTGATGACAATGTCTGCTATTATGGCTGAATTACTGCCTACTCGAGGCTCCTCTTACCGGGGCATACATCAAGTGCTCCATGGCGTGCCCGCAACGGCACAGCACTTGTACTAATCCCACTTACATGTTGTACAAGTTTCCTAATATTCAGCGTTAAGCTGATTTAACCGCCACAGAAAGCAATCATATGTGACTTATTGGCTACCTTAACGCCAATTCAGCAGGGAAGGTTTTGCTACAAACAGATCTGAAGTTCTCTCAGTAATTGGGAAGCGCTGAAAAGGCTGTTGACCCAGGCAAGGTGTGTACGCACTGTATACACAGGTATTAGCTGGTATAAAATATGGGGACAGACATGTATGCATTTAAAGACGTAAGTAGGTAGACATATGTTGATAAGCATCTACGCAGAAGGCGGGTGAGGGACAGAATAGGTAAACATGCAGAGAATGTTACAGGACGTCATCAGTGAGTGAACTTAGTTTTATTCTGCTTTTAGCAATATTCCAACAATATCACGGCGGGGCTTCACACATTGTACCCATGTGGGGAATCGAACCAGGGTCTTCGGCGTGAGGAGCGAACGCTTTAACCACAAGGCTACCCCACCGCTCCAGGATGTCATAAAGAAACCACCAGATCATGTCGATCTGACAAAAACAGGTGGTTGACAGCATGAGCATCGGTCTAGCTACGATGACAGGGGTACAGGATGCAGACAGCATCAGACTGGCTACGATGACAGGGGTACAGGATGCAGACAGCATCAGACTGGCTACGATGACAGGGGTACAGGATGCAGACGGCATCAGTCTGGCTACGATGACAGGGGTACAGGATGCAGACAGCATCAGACTGGCTACGATGACAGGGGTACAGGATGCAGACAGCATCAGTCTGGCTACGATGACAGGGGTACAGGATGCAGACAGCATCAGACTGGCTACGATGACAGGGGTACAGGATGCAGACAGCATCAGTCTGGCTACGATGACAGGGGTACAGGATGCAGACGACAGCATCAGTCTGGCTACGATGACAGGGGTACAGGATGCAGACAGCATCAGACTGGCTACGATGACAGGGGTACAGGATGCAGACAGCATCAGACTGGCTACGATGACAGGGGTACAGGATGCAGACAGCATCAGACTGGCTACGATGACAGGGGTACAGGATGCAGACAGCATCAGCATGGCTACGATGACAGGGGTACAGGATGCAGACAGCATCAGTCTGGCTACGATGACAGGGGTACAGGATGACAGCATCAGACTGGCTACGATGACAGGGGTACAGGATGCAGACAGCATCAGACTGGCTACGATGACAGGGGTACAGGATGCAGACAGCATCAGACTGGCTACGATGACAGGGTACAGGGTACAGGATGCAGACAGCATCAGACAGCTGGCTACGATGACAGGGGTACAGGATGCAGACAGCATCAGACTGGCTACGATGACAGGGGTACAGGATGCAGACAGCATCAGTCTGGCTACGATGACAGGGGTACAGGATGCAGACAGCATCAGACTGGCTACGATGACAGGGGTACAGGATGCAGACGGCATCAGTCTGGCTACGATGACAGGGTACAGGATGCAGAGACAGCATCAGTCTGGCTACGATGACAGGGGTACAGGATGCAGACAGCATCAGTCTGGCTACGATGACAGGGGTACAGGATGCAGACAGCATCAGACTGGCTACGATGACAGGGGTACAGGATGCAGACAGCATCAGACTGGCTACGATGACAGGGGTACAGGATGCAGACAGCATCAGACTGGCTACGATGACAGGGGTACAGGATGCAGACAGCATCAGTCTGGCTACGATGACAGGGGTACAGGATGCAGACAGCATCAGACTGGCTACGATGACAGGGGTACAGGATGCACCACGCTATGTTTCGGCAAGTAATGCCAATATGGTAAATAAAGAACTATGTTAGCTCGGTAGCTGAATAAGGGGTATGGATTTTACAGGACGGTAAGCAACAAGGACTGGTATTCCGATCACACAACAAATACAAGAGTGCATAGGAATGTATGTAGTTTCATCGGGATCGTGCATGGTGCAATACAATCTTTTCACGTAGGTTCATGTAGATACTGGTTCAATGCAGATATACTTTTGGATGAGAAAGGGTTTGGGGATTTGACAGGTACAAAACGTAAGTAAATAGATATCGAGCGGGAAGGAGCAGGTAAGATGTAGAAATGGTAGCACCACCACGGAGGCAAGCAATAGAACAGAGTTAATATTTATGGGGAAAACAGGTGGTGGCTAAGCAAGCAGGTAACACAAATACTGGCACAGTGGCAGTGCCAATTCCACCGGAAGGAGGTAGGCAAGTAGGTACTAATACTTTGTGGGTATGTACGCAAACTGGTATGAAGATGACAGGCAAGCCAGCAGATACAATAAGAGTGCCAATGTACCACTGTAAGTCAACAAGACTCAGATTCAGCAATAATGTAAATACAACGACAAGTAGATTATCAGGTTAAGTATTGATCTCAATAAGGAAGTTGAATGAAACTAAATGATAGTGTAATAATAATAATAATAATAATAATAATAATAATAAAATGACAATAAGAAATACAACATCAAGATATGCACGAATCTGTCACAAATAGGGAGGCATGTGTATGCCCTGTAAACACGCGACCACCTGGTGTTAACCCTGTATGACGGCGGTGCATTGACACATGCTCATGATGTGGTCGGGTCGTGCAGCTGCTGGAACAGCTTTCTTCACAGCATGGAAAGGGTTTTGTCGCTGGTATATACAGTAAATGTACGAGCAACGGTTACCGGGAGGCATCCAACTGATTGAGTGGACCCTTTAAATGTAACATGTATATGGTGATATACGTTGGCCGACGATTGGGTGCATTAATCTCTGAGTGTGGGTTCAACTCACTAAATGGACTCAAATAAAAACGATGACACCAAAATTGGTATTTTACTATAGAAGTGTAATTGAAAAAATAACATCAGTTACAATGTATATTTTTGCTATTAGATATGACTGTTGGGTTTTTTAGAATTCAGTTGAAAACATATATGGCTGCGGTAGAATATCTTCTTTTAAACTGAGTTTGATAACACAAGATAAATGACCGTTTTTAAGTTTGTAATGACTAATAATGTACGCTGTCATACAAAAACAAGCCACAAGTGAAGTCAGGACAGTTATCTTTAAAAAAGGTTGACATTAAATGTAAGTGCGATTCTATATGAAATCAGCTTACTCTGGTATTTGTAACAAAGATGTCACTTTGTATTATCCAGTTACGGAAATGGCCGTGTTTTTGTTCTTTGCGATGGGAAACACGACCACACATTAGCTCTGATTAATATTCACGTGTCACGAGGTCAACTATCAAGGCAGCTGACAACCAATCAAATGACAATACCCCGACGTAATAGCGTTTTAAATATTTACTCTGTCTGATAACACAAGAGGTTAGATGTAAAAGTGTACACAACTCTAATTTCACGTCGATATTTCTAATCGAATAACGTTTGCTTTTCAAACGAAGTAAGTGGCAAATTCTTCCATCGCGAGCCAGGCCGATCACGAAGTAGGCCCACATTCCATACCACAAGGCCCAGGGTAGAGCCTACCGCCAGCTATGCCCCATCCCGAAAGACAAGATCTGGGTGCCGAACGTGAAGAGAGTTGGGGGAAAACTCATACCTATATGCGTCAACTGTTTGTGTTTGGTAGACAAAGTTGACTTTTTATCAGGTAAACATGTCCATTACTCCGTTACTTTACTTCCAAGCTGAGTGTACGACCCGAGGGGACAAATGGCTACATCTAAGGGTCACAGCAACCGGCGGGCCTGATAGCGGCAGAGGGGCGCTGTGATAAACACGAATGACCTCGAGTTGAACATTATGCTGTATGTATTTAAGGGAATCGTGTGAAGTCTGCTTAGAAAATACTTGTCTGGAGAGTGGCATTGTTTTTTTATTGCTCAATGAAGTCTTAAATATGTATTACGAGTACATGTTGAGTTTTACGCCGCATTTGGCAATATTCCAGCAATAGCTCTGCGGGGGACATCAGAAATGGGTTTCACACATTGTGTCGATTTGTGTGTATTAACACATATATATATGTCTGCAGTGTGAATTAATCTCGTAGGCTGTTTCTTGCCACTTTATGATTTCAAACCGAACTAATAATATTTGCATTAATTACATATGACTCTTGTTCTGGTGTGGTTTGATCGGAGCCACAACATTTTACTTTATAACTTTGAAAAGGCTTGTGGAGGACATTGCTAGATTGACGCATCTGTGACAACAATGATGTCCGAGGCAATCCAATATTTTGTCTTGTATCAAAATGTTTTTTAACTTCCCTTTGTGTGTGTATGTGTGTGTGTGTGTGTGTGTGCGCGCGCGCGTGCGTGTGCGTGTGCGTGTGCGTGTGCGTGTGTGTGTGTGTGTGTGTGTGTGTGTGTGTGTGTGTAGCAGGTGGCACCGGTTGGACATGATACGCTAACCATTTTTGCGAACACTTGCTATTTGATGGTGAATCATAAACACATTGCAAATTGCAATCAGAGATTTCATGTGATTATGGAAATGGTGTTCTTTTCTGGACATACATTACAATATGACCAGTTAACCATTCCCATGATGCTCTATAATGTTCAGAAACAGAATCACAAAAAGAAACGTCAAGTTTGTTGATATTGACTAAATCATGGTTTCGTAACGGTAACTATAAAAACATTTCACACAGAAAATTCAATTCAACTTTTTGTGTTTCTAATTTTCTATATTTTCAGAATTTATATTATTTATTTTGGTTTCTTTTACAATCGGATCCATTCGGTGAGTGAAAGGGGATTTAATCTGTAGTTAACACTATTACCGATATATTAGGGTTAACTGTATGACATGGGGACTGATACAGACAAACTGATGGGTCACAGTTTATTTATCAGTCGTTTGACCATCCGGTATGTCTGTCATAGTGTGTTGGAACATTGAGTACTGGAATATTGAGGTGCTGGAGTTCTGAGCTGACCCGGAAGTCAACTGGAATTCAGACCGCTGGGTATTTTCAATAGTTAAAACAGTTTGTAACCGAGGGGTGTTCGAGATGTTTAAAACCTGTTGCTGTGAGCTAGATCAAGTGATTCACATGAATCAACAAACACTCGTCAGTACCGCATTGCTTTAAATCTATGAAGAGATTTATTTGTACTAATATCAAATAATACACACGTGTATATATATATATATATATATTATTCCGCAGTGACCATATGTGTCTAAAACAGCTTATATTAGTGTAGTTAGAATAACAAGTTTTTAATAATCTCTTTGTCTCCTTAATATGTAACTGTAACAACATGTAAGAACACTAATTCAGAATCTGTACCTATATCACGGTCAGACATACAAGAATTGACCTAATTAAACCACCAACCTGAACTGCGGAATGAGCCATTTACAGCTTCCGGTCTGATATGCCCCAACTAATATCCTTACCGTAAGTTGAGATGTATATGTCATGCTGAAATTTAAATAGATATGTCAAACTCAGTAAACAGACTTTCTAACCTGAACCGGATAGCGACTATTTAAATAAAGGAACTATATCACAAAACAATACCTGTATACTGAGTGCATGTTTGTAGTGCTTAAACCCAGCTGGTAACTTCACCACACAATAGGGACGGTTGTAATTCCGCGACATATGGTATTATCAAATATATAACGACGATAAGGAAGAAAGTCCGTTTACCGGATGACAACCCCAGTACGCGTGTATCGCTAAATAAATATTCTAAAACGCAGCCCGAAGCCCACGCGAATAACGCTGGCGAGCTACGTCTTACCTCAAGGCGGGACCTAACCGTTTAATTTATTATATGATTGTAATAACCCGGCTCGACCCAAGCCCTGTTGTACTTGCCAGGCGAGTTGGAAAAAGTGACGGTCCCGAATGTTTCGTTGAGAAACAAAGGTGGGGCATACCACCCTCACCAACACCCGTCTTACAGTCTCATCAAAGACTATATAATTTGCCCTTAGATAGCACCCACAATAGTTATCTGGTAGGAGAGAATGTATTGGGACGCCTGGTGCTCGACAAGCGAGTGGCCCCGAGATTACAAACTAAACGAAGAATCGCAGTGAGAACCTTGGCAAACAGTGTGGACGAGCTTGAAGTGATCAATCTCATCTTAGAGTAAGAGGCATCACAGGCCCACGAGAGCTCTTTCACTAAGCTCGAATCAATGAGAAGTCTTTATTGTACTGCTCTTGTGTACGTACAGCTAAGTTAAGTACTAGCACCTCGGGAATCTTTTAAAGAGGAGCAAATCACAACAGTTTACATTTAGATACACAAAGTGTGAGAGTTAAACCTCACTTCAACAATACTTGATGAAGGTATCAAGCATTCATACTTGATGAGACCTTAAAGGGGCTCTGTTAAGGGCAATACGTGTCATGTATTTTCTGCTGTTATAGATCTATAAAACGGACTATACCTATAGTTGTTGTTGAACAAGTGACACCGTTTTTAAAAAACTGGACGTATAGCATTTGCTGTCAAAGTGTTAAAGCGCCGAACAGATTTCTGGTATCACTTCAATAACGTGTAAGCGTGGAGATACGTGCAGATAAACACATAGAAATGTCCCCACAATACTAAACAAATAGTACATTTGATTATAATGTACTATTTTTTCTGATATCTGTAGCAATAAATGGAAAATGATAATATATTCGTACAATATATGCACTTCAAAATTGTTATCTTAGGATACGTAAGTAACGAACCTGTATATTCAAACATTTCGCATATTCTATAATATTGCAAAATAGCCGACCACATGGTACCTCGGCTGTTAATAGCCCCCTATGGCGCTAGTCATAATTCTTGTGATTCATCGAGGTGGCTTTCCCATGTGCTGGGTGTTTACTCTGGAGGCCACCATAAATCCACGTCTTTCCTCGTCTGACACATAACATATAAAGTCAATTGGGTGTTTCGCTCAGGGTACGGGGTTGTGTACATGTAGACTTTCTATAGCGTTGTGCCTCTTTTAGCCCGTTCCTTGCCACACCCTCTCTCCCTCCTGAGTTCAAGGAATGTCGAGTCGGTGAGGACGTGGTGCAGTAGTAGCCAGAGGTTGATGACAACACTGTTGAAGGTATTTGGTGTATTGTAGCATATACCTTCTGAACGTGTGTTTTGGTTACTTTTATTTGTCTAGATATAAACATAGGTATGTCATTAGTCTGTGACCCATAGGTTATCTGTTACATTTGAAAAGTTCGGTTTAATTCTCTTGTATTTGACTAGACTTGGACGTGGAATTGTTTCAGTAATGTCATATATTGTGTGGGTTCTGCTCTACAAATAATTGTAGGATATGGTGATCTGGTGTGTTATTTATAAAACAGAGATGCAGAGATATCCACCTGCTCTTCATCACCATCATCATCACCATAAGCACCATTAATGATCAATGTAATTATTATTACTGTATAATTACGATAATCATTAACCGATTCAATGCTATACAAGTTAGTTATACTACTACTGCTACTACTACTACTACTACTATGCTACTACTACTACTACTACTATATTACTACTACTACTATCCTACTACTACTACTACTATGCTACTGCTACTGCTGCTGCCACTGGAACTACTACTAATATTGGTGCATACCATTCGGACTATATTATAAGCATGAATGAATAACTCACTGTCATATAGACAAAGGTTTGGAGTATATATGGAGATGGGACTGCAACTGCGCCTGATCATATGTTGCATTCCTTGCCGTTATGACCACAGTGAAGAAGCATTACTAAGCTATCGCTTATTCATTACATACTACTTCTAAAACTATTTTGGTTTGGATCAGACTGTCTTCCAAATGTGTGTAGAAACGTGTCTGCAGATATGTAAGATGTATAATATATGTGCTTGTAAGGAGTATATCCGCATGAACGTAGTTATATTGCTTGGCAAGTACTCATGTTTCTGTCTCTTGCAACAAATGTGTCACCAAAACCACACTTTTTAATGATGTCCTATAATATTAACGTCTCTTGTTTTCAAACACGGGATGTTTGCCAAGGATATATGATCGATATCGATTTGTGATGTGATATCAATGTTGTAGGCGACGTATGACGCAATTCGGGCTCACTGTGGCCCAGGAGTGCCTCTGAGTGCATATCTGTATGAGGATTTATCCGTGCTTACAACATATGCAGATCCATGTCCAGAGTTCCTCGCAGTGCTTCAAATACTTATCAGCTTGCCTGTAGGACACGTGTACCTAATACAGGCAGATCCAGGGAGAAATCATTTGTTTGTTTTGTCCCTGGTTGAGAAGGACAGATCATTGTCTCGAACACCTGGTGTCATCACTGATTGTCAGTGATCCATTCATAAAATTTGTATCACTATTTTGAATTTTACTCGGAATTTGTTTCGGCAGATACTCGAAACTGATTATTTTCGTTTTGAATGTATTTAGAATTGTTTAATTATTGTTAATATATTTTAGATGTTGAGTAACGAATGCCAGTTGCTCTTTACGCCGATGACCCAGGTTTGGTTACCATCATAGGGAAAATGAAACCTGCTGTCTCCGTATTAAACAGCTTAAAATTGATAGGGGCGGCGTAAAACTATACTCAGTCTGGTGTTTTATTGTAGTTATGTATAAGTGTTGCGCTTGAAATTCCGTATT